TGCCTCCCCTATTCTGCCGCAAAAAGCCGCACCAAACCAGTTCCAATGTGCGCTATCCCCCAACCTCAGAGCTGCCAGGGGAGCCGAGCTGGATACCCCAGGGCTGGTTAGCACTGAACGAACCAAAGAGACCGACACACTTTAGCAACGGGCTACTCACATCGAAGGCCGCTCGGCGCAGGCCCTCGCTGCTCCTCAACCAACAGCGGCTCAACTCGCTCAGCTCCAGGATGGGCTGCACTTTCAGCCGCACAGTCTCCCCTGACTGCCGGATCATCTCCACTATCTCGTCTCGAGACTTGTTCTCCACGTTCCGGCCGTTGATTTCCACCAGCCGGTCCCCCGGCACCAACCCCAGTGCCAGGTCCTTGGTGCCAGCACCCGGCTCCGCAAAGTGTACCACCCGCCTGTACACCTGCCCGTCAGGGGCCCGGTCCAGCATGGTCGTGCGACGCAGAGAGAACCCAAAGTCACCGGTGTTACGTCGCTGCAGCTCCAGCTCCCGGGGAACGGGGGGCTGGGGCGGCACCACCATGGGCAGCCTCAGCTCAGCAGGAAACCTCTTGCTGACCACCTCGGGCACCCTGGCTCGCAGCGCCGATGATGAGGGGGCCCTCAGGTGGCCCATGGGTGCTCCCTGCTTGCTGAGCTGAGTCTCCAGCATGCGCACCTCCACCTGCGGGGAAGGGGCTGCAGAGTGCTCGGAGGGTGTGGAGGTCTCCGAGGCACTCTCGTCCCGGCTCTTCTGGGAGAAGGAGAACCTCTTGACAATCATTTGGGAGTTCTGCTTGGCCAGGGAGCCGAACTTGGCCGCCCGCTGCAGAACCGAGCCCTTGAAGTTTGTGTCGTCCACCTTGAGGTCATCGCTGGAGCTGGCTGTGCTGAGATGGCCCGAGTCCAGGATCACGCTGCCCCGGTTGCTGTCTGAGTCGATGTCAGTGAGGTGCAGGTCTGAGCCACTGGCCACCTTGATGGGAATGGGGTTGGAGATCTCCAGCCGGGACTTGGACTCTCTCTTGGAGGTGCGGCTGAGGTTGAAGAAGCCCCTGCGCAGGCTCATCTCCTCCAGGCTCTTGAGCTCGGCTGCCGACATCCGCTCCTTTTTCTCCTTCTTTTCCTTCTTGTCCTTCCTCGACCCATCTTTGTCTTTGTCCTTTTTCTTCAAGTTAAACATGTTGGGAGGGCTCGCGGGAGGCACCCGCGCTCCAAAGGGCAGGAGGCCGCTGAGAGTCAGCGGCAGCCGCTCTACAGCTCTGGGTCCTGCTGCCTTTCTGCTGGGTCTGCTGCTGCACAGGCAAAGAACAGAAACAAAACATCTTGTTAGCCAGAGGAGCTCGCACGACAGGCACCTCCCAATTCCCCAGCCTGGACCTATGGCCCAGCCCCCCAAACCCAGACTCTGCTGCTCTCTGGCTCGCACTGCTCACTCCCCGCCAGGGCACATACCAGGCTATCGAGCCCGCAGCTTCTCTGATGGCAACAGGAGCTGCACACATGGGGCGAGGGCACAGGGCAGCCCACCTCTTCCTGTTGCGTTTGAGATAGCCGCATCGGGGAAAGCCGAAGGGCTAGGGATGGGATTCCAAACATCTCAATCCTAGGAGGCTGGTTCCCAGCTCAGCCTGGCATTAAGCAAGCTACCATAAGCGCTCCATGGGCTATGCAAAGTGAGGGGGTGGCTCACAGACAGCTGCAAGTGGACAAGGGCCCATGTCACAAGATACATCATTCTCTCTCTATGGCCTGACCCTGGGAGGCAGCGAGCAGCTGCATCTCCATTGGACTCAGGCCCCGATTAACAACCCCAACCGAGACGCCAAGGAACAAATGAGCCACTGGGACCATACTCCCCTCTCACCCAAACAACAACTGGATATAACAGCATTCCCACACACCACCCCTTGCCTCCCCGCCCCGCTGCACAGGCAGGGCTGAGGAGCACAGGTGGGGGAAGCAGAAAAGCTCATCTCTATGGCTGTCAATCTGGCAGCTTTCAACAGCACTGAAGACCCTTCCCAGTAAGGAGAGGATGCAGGTGTCCTGCCGTGGATGCCTGAACACAGCAAATCAGGACAGGGTTAACAGAGGGCTCCTGCATACAAGCTTTTCTCCTCTCCCCTCCAGCTCAAAGGTAACAGTACTGGGAGACCCCAGCATGGCGCATCACAGGCAGAATAAGGTGGATGTCAGAGGCGGATGGAAAAGCCTCTTCCAAAGACATTTCCAGAACCCAAATCAGCTCAGGTCACATGGGCACGTCTTGAAACAAAATCCCCTTCTTCTGCCCCCATCCCTCTACCTGTCAAGACCTGAACTTCCTCCCCTGCTCCCCCACAATGGAGAGCACCACTAACCTCTAAAGGAGAATTTCTCATGCATCCATCCCCTGCTGTGCCTTAGGCCGGGCAGGCCAGCAGCTGCAGGGGAATGCAGGTCTCGCCAAGTAAAAGGAATTGCTTTTCAGAGGTCTGATTTTACTTGCAGGGTTTCAGCCCGCACAGAGATTCCCTCCCTGATACAGGACTGCATCCAGCCCATTCTTGCTTTGCTGTAGCTGTAAGAGTCTCTTGCTCTCTCACTCAAAAAGCCCCTTGTTAAAATAAACAGAGGCCTTGTTAGGACAGGGGAAAGCCCTGCCCTAGGCTTCTGTCCTGGGCCTTTCAAAAAGCAGCGGTGCCTCTTTCCCTCGGTCACAAAAACCCTGAGCGCTGAGGCCCCTCCCCATCAGTGACCCAGAAGAAAGGGGACCTGGGCTAACAGCAGCAGCTAGCGGTCCCTGCCTGGGGGAAGGGAAGCTTCCTGCAGGGAACACAGAAAACATAGCCCTTACTAGTCCTTTTTATTTTTTTATTATTATTATTAGAATAAACAGGATCCTGGAAACTCTCATCCCTCTGAGACAGTGATAAGTGTCTAAAATTAGTCTCTGCAACACAGAACCCGTGATGCTGCCAGGCGACCTCTAGGAACAGTCGCTCTTTCATTCGGCTGCATCTCCCTGACTTTGGGGGAGGTACCCAGCCTGCTGCAAAACGTGACAGACACATGAACAGCCTGGCTCACTCCTCAGCCAATCAGTCCCAGCTAGAAGCAAAAGCCCCTGCCAGGGCTACTGCTCCAACTGCCTTCTCCAGGGCTGCCACAGCCAAAGAGGAATTGCAAGAATTGCTGCATTACTCATATGGGGAGGGATATTTCTCCTCCCCCTCTATGGGGGTTTTAGCCAATACCCCAGTCAGCACCCTGATAATAGCATACACCCAAAATCAGTGGGCCAACAGGTCTGAGCTATTATATGTGCCCAGAGCCAAAAGGAAGTCCAGACAACACCAGAGGTCTGTGGCGTCACAAAACCAGACCCTGTGATCACACCCTTCGCTGTCAGGTAAGAGATATGGCTCTCTCAAGACAATTCTTTCCTCGTCAATATTGCACACACAGATTCTGGCCAATTACACTCCAAGCTCCACTGTGTGATTTGTTTACAAAAACAAGATAAAATCAAACAGCTGTATGGAGAAAAAAAATGGAGAGATACAGACCGACAACTATATGTAAATGTAGCAGGAAGTCACCCACTTAAAGAAATTACCCTTAACACAATGTATCTGATGGGAGAATACTCCAGATTGTAAATATCTGCTTTCAGAGCTGTCAGTTCATGTGCTCTGAGAAACAGAAGCAATTTACGTAGCGCGCACACACACACACACACACACACACACACACACACACACACACACA